GCACCCGAAGAGTAGTCATCTTCGGGGTGGGGGAGAAGGTCTGAAAGAAGTCGACTCCCTCTCGCTGACTGAAGCCCCTAGCCACGTAGCGCGCCTTGAAGACAGGCGGAGAACCCGGCGGTCGCTTCACCCTGAAAATCCACATGCCACTGACGATGTTCGCCCCAGGAGGGGGAACCTCGTCGACGTAAGTGCCAGTGGACTTCCAGGAAGCCATCTCTGCGTCCATGGCTGTCTGCCACTGAGAGGAGTAGGGACCCGCCATCGCCTCAGTGTAGGAGCGCGGGGTCGGGATGTCTGGTGCATCCGGGTCTCCCTCAGGGGCAACAAGCATGGACACGAGATGAGGCACAGCAGCAGCAAAGCAGTGAAACTCCTCTTGTCTGTCCTCAAGGACGTCCGTGCCAAGAGCACACTCACCCCCGACGGACGGAGGACAGGCAGACTGAGACTCAGCAACTAGGCTAGCAGCGTAGTCCAGGCGACAGCGAGAAGCAAAGTCAACCAGCTCAGCGACCAGAGCAGACGCAGCAGCGGACTCAAAAGACGGGTCAGTGACGACAGTAGCGAGAAAACGCGTGACAGTGGGACTGGCAGCACGACGGGAGTCAGACTCCGGGTCAGGAAGAGTAGGCAGCGAAGACTCAGGAGGAGACGGCAGCGGGACACGCTGCGGAGCAGTGGAGGGACGCAGAGTCATGTAGTGAGTGCCCGGGACAGGAGGAGGACGCTCACGCGGGGCACGACGATCGGTGCGCGCAGTACGGACAGGCGACGCTGGACGTGACTCAGGCGCACGACGCTCAGTAAGACCTCCCGTGGGACCAGTGTAGGGAGAGGGACCAGGGAGAGGGGAGGCGGGCGGTAACTGTGACTGCGACTGGACTGGCGTGAGACCAAGAACCTGCTGAAGGAGCGGGACAAAGTAGGGTCGCGGCCGCGTAGCGGCTCCAGAACCAGTAGAGACAGCAGCGGCGGGGTCCTCAGCATCAGCGACAACGCCAACGTCCGGGTCCGCAGCACCAGCAGCAGCTCCAACGCCCGGGTCCTCAGCACCAACGACAACGCCAACGTCCGGGTCCTCAGCACCAGTGACAACGCCAGTGTCCGGGTCCGCAGCACCAGCAGCAGCTCCAACGCCCGGGTCCGCAGCACCAGTGACAACACCAGCGTCCGGGTCCGCAGCACCAGCAGCAGCTCCAACGCCCGGGTCCTCAGCACCAGCGACAACGCCAACGTCCAGGTCCTCAGCACCAGGGGCACCACTCCGGAGACTGCAGCGCCGCGCGTACCACTCTCGGATCTGCTGAATGGGGGGGAGCTCCTGGGCAGGAGGGGAAGTACTGGGACGAGCTCCAGAAGCTCCGCTCCGGAGGCGGCAGTACTGTAGGTACCTCTCCTGCAGCTGCTGGGAGGAGAGAGCTCCTCCAGACGTAGTGCGCTCAGGCTCAACACCCCCAGACGCAGCACCCCCAGTCGCCACACCCCCAGGCTCCGCACCCCCAGGCTCAGTACCCCCAGGCTCCGCACCCCCAGGCTCGGGACTGTCAGGCTCCGCACTCTCAGGCTCAGCACCTCTGGCAGGGCGGGACTCGACAGCTATCTCAACAGGGTCAACCGGGTCTACCTGGGACACACCTGAGGGAGCGGCACCCTGAGGGGGGAGGGGGTCTACCACAGCAGCACCTGGTGCGAGGAAGAGCGGCGGTGGGGGGAGTGGGGCAGTGCGGTAGGGGAAGAGGCGGTAGAAGGGGACAGACTCGTCAAAAGTGACGTCCTGAGAGGCCAGAACCCGGCGCGAGGCGACGTGGTAAAACTGCCAGCCAGGCGCGTCGGGGACAAAGCCAAGAAAGACACAGGGAACAGCGCGACGCGAGATCTTGTCCGCAGACGTATCGCGGACAAAGGCTCGGGATCCCCACACCCGGAAACGCGACGCATCACCAACCTCTCCCGTCCACCGCAGAGTCGGGGAAGTCTCCGGGAAGGAGACACGGGGCCAGAGGTTGAGCTGATGCGCTGCGTAACGGACCGCAAACGGCCACAGAAAGTGGGGAGCAGCCGCATGGGTCAGGGAGGTACGAGCGACCTCCATGACCAAGCCAATGCGGCGCTCAGCGACCCCATTCTGCTGTGGAGAGGCCGGAAGCGTGAACGACTGCTCGATGCCGTGCTCAGCACAGTAGGCTGCCAAGAGTTCGGAGGCGAACTCACCACCTCTGTCAGAGTGCAGGCGTAGGACTGGAAAGTCCGAGCGAAAGCGCTTGCCTAGCTGGAGACGGGCTCGGCTGATCCAGGGGATCAAGACATCAGGGACGTCACCCTTGCTGCGCAAGGGGAAGACCGTGGTGTAGCGCGAGTAGTCGTCAACAACTATCAGGAAGTACCGCTCCTGACCCTGACCACGGACGCGGGCTGGGCCCCACACGTCCATGTGTAGCGTCTGCAAAGGAGCAGTCGTCGGGGGGAAGGAGGAGGAGTGGGGAGCGGCGCGCTGCCGCCCCTCAACACAGGGAATGCAGTCGGGAGCAGGTGAGGGGGGGAGGGGAGGGAGAACCCGAGGGAGACCAGAGACAAGCTGCCGCTTGTGCATGGCACGAAGGCGCTGCACAGACGGGTGGCCAAGTCGGTGGTGCCAGAGGACAGTGTCGTGCGCCAGAGAGCGACACGAGCAGGGGGCGGACAGCTGACCTGACGCCGACGCAGACGCGGACGCAGCTACCTGAGGGGACTCAGTGGTCAGTGTGTACAGGTCCGACCCCGGCTCCCGAGTAAAGGTAGCCAGGTGGCGACCCGTCCGGGCACACGTGCAGTGGGTCACTCGCTCGTAGGCAGGGGTGGTCTGGTGAACACCCCCATCCTGTAGCTCACATCCTGCCACCAAGTTCGTAGAGAACGAGGGGAGGTAGAGACCCGACAGCGTGCCGGACGGGACTGCAGGACAAGGGAGGACAGTGGAGTGAGTCGCAACGACTGGACCCCCAGTGGGGTCAGCTAGCGAGACTGCAACCGGCCGAGCAAGAGGCTCAAGGACAGTGCGGTCACGAAAGAAGGAGCGGGAAGCACCTGAGTCAAGAGTGAAGGTGTGGAGTGCGGCGGTCGGCTCAGTACCAGGGGCGACTGGGGCTATAGCACCTAGGGCAGTAGCCTCACCAGGACCTGGGGCAGCAGACACACTAGTACCTAGGGCAGCAGCCTCACCAGGACCTGGGGCAGCAGACACACTAGTACCTAGGGCAGCAGCCTCACTAGCACCTAGAGCAGCAGCCTCACCAGAACCTGGGACAGCAGTCTCACAAGTACTGAGAGCGGGAGCCTGACAAGTCACAATGCCCGGGTCGGGCGGAACACGCAGGTACTGAGCACTCTCTCCACTAATAGACATCGCATACATGGCAGTGAGAATAGCGTCAAAGTCTAAAGCCCAAATATCAACACCCTTCCTTTCCAGCTCAGGCCAGTGGGGCAGCTCAGCACCCCCAGGAAACTGGGCGCGCCACGCGTCAGTAAGGCGCTGGTAGCAGCGCTGCGTGGGGTGCGGCCTCCCACACGGCAGGCCCTTGCGGTCACCAGTGCGGTGGACGTACGTGCAAGTGGAACCACGCTGTGCGTACCACTCACGGGCGGCCTGGAGGGTCGGGGCGTGCTGCTGACCCTGGCCACCACCAGCGTCTCCACGACCACCACCGCCACCGCCACCGCCACCGCCTCGGCCACCTCCACCCCTGCCGCGACCACGACCACCACCGCCGCCGCTACTACCGCCGCTGCCGCCACTACTCCCGCCGCCGCTGTCACCACCCCCACTGCCACCACCAGTGTCTCCAGACCCACCGCCACCCCCACTGCCGCCACCCCCACCGCCACCCTTGCCCCCCCTGCTCTTGCGACGCCCGCTCGAGGCAGACGCAGCCCCGACCTTCTCAGCACCAAGGAGGTCGACAGCAGCAGCAGTGGCGACAGAGGGGAGAAGGGGGGAAGGGGAACACCCCTCAAAGAAGGGGTGGCGGGGCTCGCCACGAGAGGCACCTACGGCGACGATGCTCGCCTCAGCTACAAGTAGATCCTTCTCAAGGATGGCGATGGTGAGCTCAGTAGGGGAGCGAGCAAGAAGAGAGTCCCTGACTGCGCGCAGTGAGTCAGGGAGGCGGGTGACAATGTGGTAGAGCGTGAGCCAGAGCGGTGGGGGGTTGCTGGCGAGGAACTCGGCAGGCATAGCAGCGCGAAAGCGGGCCTCACTGGTCTTAAGGTGAGTAATGAGATCGGCAACGGTCTGAAAAGAGGCCAGGTCAGGGAAGAGGTAGGGTAGGGTGAGGCGGCCTAGGGTGGCAGACGCAGGCGAGGAGTAGCGGGCAACGACGGCTGTGTACAGGTCCTGAGCAGTCTTGCACTGGCCGAAGTGCTCGCGCTCATCTAGCGGTAGCGAGTTGCGGATAGCAAAGCGAGCATGCGCGTCGCGGGTCTGCCACTGGGAGCGTAGCGTGCTGGCAGCAGAGGAGTCAGGGGCAGTAGCATGGCCGAGGGCATGATCATACAGGGAGATGTCTTCCTTGGCAGTGAGCTGTAGGAAGAGGTGGAGATCCTCAAGCCAGGTGTCAAATTTCACTGGGCGACCCTCAGCATCGAAGGCTAGGACAGGAGCGCTTGCCATGATAGCAGGAGGAGGAACAGTCGAAAATGGAAGGATAACAGGAACAGCAGCAGTTGGGACAGCTGCGGCAGTTGCTGCAGTTGAGTCGGCGACGGCAGCTGCTGCAGGAGGTGCGGCTGTTGCCGCTGCTGGAGATGTGGAGGCGGTCGTTGCTGGGTTGGCGGCGGCCACTGCTGCAGAGGCAGCGGCGGCTGATGCTGATGTAGCTACGGCGGCCGCTGCAGGAGATAGCGGCGGCTGCTGCTGCAGAAGATGTGGCAGCTGCTGCTGCAGTAGATGCTGCGGCGGCTGCTGGTGAAGATGCGGCAGTTTCCGCTGTAGGATGTGGCGGCGGCTGCTGCTACAGTAGATGCGGCAGTTGTCGCTGCAGGAGGTGGCGGCGGCTGCTGCTGCAGAAGGTGCGGCAGCTGCTGCTGCAGGAGATGCTGCGGCGGCTGCTGCTGAAGATGCGGCAGCTGCTGCTGCAGTAGATGCTGCGGCGGCTGCTGCTGAAGATGCGGCAGCTGCTGCTGCAGTAGATGCGGCGGCTGCTGCTGCAGAAGGTGCGGCAGGAGATGCTGCGGCGGCTGCTGCTGAAGATGCGGCAGCTGCTGCTGCAGTAGATGCTGCGGCGGCTGCTGCTGAAGATGCGGCAGCTGCTTCTGCAGTAGATGCTGCGGCGGCTGCTGCTGAAGATGCGGCAGCTGCTGCTGCAGTAGATGCTGCGGCGGCTGCTGCTGAAGATGCGGCAGCTGCTGCTGCAGTAGATGCTGCGGCGGCTGCTGCTGAAGATGCGGCAGCTGCTGCTGCAGTAGATGCTGCGGCGGCTGCTGCTGAAGATGCGGCAGCTGCTGCTGCAGTAGATGCTGCGGCGGCTGCTGCTGAAGATGCGGCAGCTGCTGCTGCAGTAGATGCTGCGGCGGCTGCTGCTGAAGATGCGGCAGCTGCTGCTGCAGTAGATGCTGCGGCGGCTGCTGCTGAAGATGCGGCAGCTGCTGCTGCAGTAGATGCTGCGGCGGCTGCTGCTGAAGATGCGGCAGCTGCTGCTGCAGTAGATGCTGCGGCGGCTGCTGCTGAAGATGCGGCAGCTGCTGCTGCAGTAGATGCTGCGGCGGCTGCTGCTGAAGATGCGGCAGCTGCTGCTGCAGTAGATGCTGCGGCGGCTGCTGCTGAAGATGCGGCAGCTGCTGCTGCAGTAGATGCTGCGGCGGCTGCTGCTGAAGATGCGGCAGCTGCTGCTGCAGTAGATGCTGCGGCGGCTGCTGCTGAAGATGCGGCAGCTGCTGCTGCAGTAGATGCTGCGGCGGCTGCTGGAGAAGATGCGGCAGCTGCTGCTGCAGTAGATGCTGCGGCGGCTGCTGCTGAAGATGCGGCAGCTGCTGCTGCAGTAGATGCTGCGGCGGCTGCTGCTGAAGATGCGGCAGCTGCTGCTGCAGTAGATGCTGCGGCGGCTGCTGATGAAGATGCGGCAGCTGCTGCTGCAGGAGATGCTGCGGCGGCTGCTGCTGAAGATGCGGAAGGAGCCGCTGGAGAAGATGCAGCAGCTGCTGCTGTTGTAGATGCAGCAGCGGCTGCTGCTGAAGATGCGGCAGTTGCCGCTGAAGAGGGTGCAGTAGTTGCTGCTGCTGGAAATGCAGCGGCAGTTGCTGCAGAAGAAGCGGCAGTTGCTGCTGCTGAAAATGCAGCGGCGGCTGCTGCAGACAATGCGGCCGTGGATGCTGCAGGAAATGACGCGGCGGCCGCTGCAGAAGGTGTGGCTGCGGCTGCTGCTGGAGATGTAGCGGCGGCTGCTGCAGATGGCGCGGCGGCTGCTGCTGCTGCAGCTGCAGTGGCGACCAGGCCGCAAACCGGCGGCAACAAGGCCGCGAATCGGCGGCGACGAGGCCGCGGCCGGGCGGCAGCGACGCCGCAAAAGGCGCGACAGAGTCACGACACGGCCGTGGAAAAAAAAAAAAAAAAGGGAGGGGGGGAGGCCGTGAGAGAGTCGCGCGGGGCCAACAAAGGGGCCGGGAAAAACGAAGAAAGAAACGGCCGCAACTGGCCGTCGAGGAGAAAGCGCCCGTGGCGCGACTAGGGGAAACGCAAAGCGCGCTCCGGGCAGAAAAAATTTCTTAAACGTGGTGGGCCCTTCCTAGGAACCTTCCTGCTCTATACCATGTCAAGGTGAGAGAGGAATGATGTCGACTAGTTTGGGGCATGGGGTACAAAAGTGACGAGAGAAAAGTTGTACCCCCTAAGAAACACCCCTACAAAACCTAAACCTAAATTATATAAATCATATAATTTGACACCGCCTGACCTGCCCGAGCCGCCCGAGCCGCCCGAGCCGCCTGAGCCGCTGAGGAGCCGAGCCGCCCGACCCGCCCGACCCGCCCGAGCCGCCCGAGCCGCCCGAGCCGTCTGAGGAGCCGAGCCGCTGGTGCCGCGGAGCCGCAGTTGCTGCTGAGCCGTCCGAGAAGCCGTGTTGCCTGTTGATGTGCTACTAAGCTGCCCGAAACGCCTTGTCTGGTGAGAGCAGCGCTTCTGTCACTGCACTGCCCCTGTCCTAAAGTTGGTACTGCTAGTCTACTGTTGTCATGGCTACCCCTAGTGTCCTCGCGTTTGACGCTGAGGGTCGAGCCATTGACTTTGAGGTCTGGGTCGACGACCTGCAGCTGTTCTTACAGTGCGATAGGGCAGACGGCCTCTCTCTCTTTGACCTCACCTGTGGCGCCTCTCCTGCCCCTGCTGCTGATGCTGACCCCACTGTTCGCTCCCAGTGGGCCACGCGCGATGCTGCTGCACGTCTTGCTGTGCGTCGCCACCTGCCTACCACTGAGCGCGCGCACTTTAGTCAGTACAAGAGTGCTCAGACCTTGTACGACGCTGTAGTTGTGCGCTACTCTTCCCCTGCCACTGCTGCACTGAGCCGCCTCATGCTACCGTACCTCTTCCCTGACCTTGGTGCCTTTCCCACAATTGCTGACCTCGTTACGCACCTCCGCTCTAGTGACACTTGCTACCGCGCTACGCTTCCTGCTCAGTTCTGCGCCAAGAACCCCCCCCCCATGTACATCACTCTCTATTATATAGTCACCCGCCTCCCTGACTCTCTTCGTGTAGTCAGGGACTACTTCCTCTCAGTCTGTCCCACCACTCTCACTGTTGACCTCTTAGAGAAGGCCCTCCTAGCAGCGGAGAAGAGCATAGTCGCTGTAGGAGCCTCTCGTGGTGACCCTCGCACCCCCATCTTTGAGGGGTGTTCTCCTTCCCCCCTTTTGCCCTCTGTCGCCTGTGCCGCTGCGGCCGACCTCGTAGGTCTTGAGTCGGTCGGTGCGGCGTCTGCCCCTAGCGGGAGACGCCGCTCTGGCAAGGGCAAGGGGGGCAAGGGCGCGGGTGGAGCTAGCAAGGGCAGTGGAGGTGGCGGTGGAGGCGGCGGAGGGAGTGGGGGTGGCGGTGGGAGTGGTGGCGGGGGTGGAGGTGTCGGTGGCAGCAGTGGAGGCGGAGGCGGCGGCGGTGCTAGCAGAGGCGGCGGTGGTGGCGGAGGTGGAGGAGGCGGTGGTGGAGGAGGTGGCGGTGGTCGGGGTGGCGCTTCGCAGCGAAGCAGCCCTGGTGGTGGTCAGCGCCAGCAGCAGCAGCAGCAGCGTTCTCGGGACATTCCCCCCCCTCAGCAGCTCCGTGAGTGGTACGCGCAGCGTCAGCGTGGTGGGGGTTTTGGTCCGTGCACCTACGTCCTTCGCTCTGGCGACCGCGCGGGTGAGCAGTGTGGGGGTGCCCACCCCACCCAGCGCTGCTTTGGCCGCCTGACGGACGCTTGGCGTCAGCAGTTCCCGGAGGCCAGTGAGATCCCCCGCTTGGGAGAGCTTTCTAGGGCAGGCGTAGCTATCTATGATCTTGACTTTGATGCTATCCTTGCTGCCATGTATGCTATGACTATTAGTGATGAGGTTGACTGTTACCGGTGTTTCCCGCCCAACCCGGGCATTGGTACTGCTGCTCTAGGTGCTGGTGAGGCTGCTGCTCTAGGTGTCAGTGCGTCTGCGCCCTCAGGTGCTGGTGAGTCTGCGCTCTCATGTACCGCGTCGGCTTCGGCCTTCCTCACCTTCACACTTGACTCAGGGGCTTCTCGCTCCTTCTTTCGAGACCGCACCACACTCACGCCGCTTGGTCGGCCAGTTGCAGTCTCCCTGGCAGACCCCTCTGGGGGTCCTGTCCTCTCTCACTTCTCCACTGTCCTCCCGTGTCCGGCTGCCCCCTCTGGCACCTTGTCTAGTCTTTACCTCCCCTCGTTCTCTACGAACTTCGTGAGTGGTGCTGACCTGCAAGACACGGGGGTTCACCAGTTTACTCCAGCGAGTCAGCGGGTGACCCACTGCTCGGACGCTCGCACAGGCCGGCACCTGGCCACGTTTACGCGTCGGCCGGGGTCGAGCCTCTACACCCTGACCACTGGGTCTCCTCCTGTCCCTGTGTCTAGCCAGGTAGCTGCGTCGGGTCAGGTGTTTGCTGCAGCGTCCATGTCTGGTCCTGAGTCTGCCCCCTGCTCGTGTCGCCTCCTGTCTCACGAGACTCTCCTGTGGCACCACCGTCTTGGTCACCCCTCCCTGCCTCGTCTCCAAGGCATGGCTTCCCGTGTCCTTGTCTCTGGTCTCCCCCGGTCCCTCCCTCCCCTTCCTCTAGGGCCTGGTCCTTCCTGTGTTCCCTGTGTCGAGGGGCGGCTCCGGGCTGCCCCTCACTCCTCTCAGTTTCCCCCGACAGAGGCCCCGCTGCAGACGCTTCACATGGACGTGTGGGGCCCGGCCCGCGTCCGTGGACAGAGTCACGAGCGCTACTTCCTGCTGGTGGTTGACGACTACTCGCGTTACACCTCAGTCTTCCTCTTGCGCAGCAAGGGTGATGTCACTGAGGTGTTGATCGACTGGATCCGCGCAGCTCGTCTCCAGCTCAGGAGGAGCTTCGGCTCGGACTTTCCTGTTCTGCGTCTGCACTCTGACCGAGGCGGAGAGTTCTCCTCTGGCCTTCTGCGAGCCTACTGACGTGCGCGAGGCATCCGCCAGACCTTTACGCGTCCGGACTCTCCACAGGAAAATGGGATTGCTGAGCGCCACATTGGCATGGTCATGGACGTCGCTCGTACGTCCATGATGCATGCGGCTGCCCCCCATTTTCTGTGGCCGTTTGCGGTTCGGTACGCGGCGCATAAGATCAACCTTCACCCCAGGGTCTCCATGCCGGAGACCTCCCCAGCTCTGCTGTGGACGGGGAAGGTAGGCGATGCGTTTGCGTTCCATGTCTGGGGATCTCGGTCGTTTGTCCGCGACTTGTCTGCGGACAAACTGTCCCCTCGTGCTGCTCCTTGTGTCTTCCTTGGCTTCCCCCCTGACGCACCAAGGTGGCAGTTCTACCACCCCTCCTCTCGTCGTGTTCTGTCATCCCAGGACGTCACGTTTCACGAGTCGGTTCCCTACTACCGTCTCTTCCCCTACCGCACTCCTTCCCTCCCCCTGCCGCCGCACTTCCTTGTGCCAGGTCCCCCCCAGGTAGACCCCCTCCCCCCCCAGGGTCGTGCCCCTTCAGGTGTGTCCCAGGTAGACGCAGTCGAGCCGGTCGAGGTTGCTGGTGACTCTGGTATTGCTGCGGGTGCTGAGCCTGGGGGTGCTGACTCTGGGGGTGCTGCGCGAGTGGGTGCTGAGCCTGGGGGTACTGAGCCTGGAGGTAGTACGACTGGGGGTGCTGAGCCTGGGGGTCCTTCGCCTGGGGGTGCTGCGTCTGGAGCTGCTGAGCCTGGGGGTGACGCGTCTGGAGCTGCTGAGCCTGGGGGTACTAAGTCTGGAGCTGTTGAGCCTGGGGGTGCGGAGCCCGCGGCCGCTGGACCTGCTCGTGTGGCGTCTGGCGGTGCTGGGCCTGGTGGTTCTCCGAGTGCTTCGTCTCGGCGGGAGCCACTCTTTCCACAGGAGCTGCGCGAGTGGTTTGCCCGGCGCTGGAGGCGTACTGCTTGAGCTGGTGCTTCTTCGGCTGCTGAGGGTGCTGGTGCCGCCGGTCCCGGAGGTGCTTGCCCTGGGAGTGCTGGAGCTGCTGGGCTTGTGAGTGCGACTGGAGTCGGAGCTGTTGAGGGTGTAGGCGCTGAGGCTACTGCTGTCAGTCCTAGCGGCGGTCCTGCTGCGGGTGCTGCTGGTGCTGCTGGAGGTACTGGAGCTGGAGGTGCTTTTGGCGATGGTGCTGCCACTGGGGGTGTTGGTGTTGTCCCTGCTGTGTCAGGAGTCGCCGCGCGGCCTCGGCCGTACTTTGTTCCGCTCCTTCAGCAGGTTCTTGGTCTTCCTCCTCCCTTAGAGTGTCCACCGCCTGTCTAGTCACAGTCACAGTTACCGCCGGCCTCCCCACTGCCTGCTCCTTCTCCCTACACTGGTCCTACTGGAGGTCTTGCTGAGCGTCGTGAGCCTGCATCTCGTCCTGCGTCGCCGGTTCGTGCTGCTCGCGCTAGTTTTCGCGGTTCGCGTCAGCGTCCTCCTCCTGTCCCTGGCACGCACCGGATGTCTCTGCGTCCGTCCACTGCTCCTCTGCGTGCCCTTTTGCCTTCTCCTCCTGAGTCCTCTCTTCCTGCCCTTGCCGACCCGGAGTCGGACTCTCTTCGTGCTGCAAGTCCTACTGTCACGCGTTTCCTTGCTACTGTCGTCACTGACCGGGGATCGGGGGGGAAGAAGGGGGGGGGGGGGAGAGGGGATTGGGGTCGATATCAGACAAAATGCAACCCCCTATCTGAAATTTCAGACGAAGTATAAGGCTTCCTCTGAAAAATCAGATGAACTGAAATTCGTAATCTTACATATCAGACGAAGTAAAAATCGTCGTCTTGAAAATCAGATGAAAACAAAAATCAAGGTCAGAAAATCAGAAAATCAGACCAATTTGGTCTGATAACGAGAGCCGTGTACGTCGCCATGATGACATGGCTGGTGAGGTGTGTCGTAGAGGGTAGGGAATATTAAGCAGAACAACAAGAAAAGAGAGGGTGAGGTTAGGCAGTGAAAGGGACGGGGTGGGGGGGTAAGGCTGGGTCCGAATTGAGTTGGCTATGCAGGGGGGTGTGGAATTGAACGACAGCAAGGGCAACCGGCCGAGGTAAGGGACGGCACGAGGAGAGCAAAGAAGGGACGGACGAGTGGGAATGTAGATAAAGGGCAGGAAGGAGAGGGGAGACCGTAAAGTAGGTTATCGTGATTGGGCTTCTGGGGGGTTAGAAAGTAGGGGTGCCGAGAAAGAATGGGGGAGGACTCACATTTGAAGAACTGGAGCCGGGTTCAGTGCGCGGCTTACAAAAAATGCTGGCGGGAAAGGGAACTGAATAAGAGGGGACGGGGGAAGTGCGGATGGGAAGGAGGATTTGGGGGGGAAAAGAGGAGCAGAGAGGGTAAGAGGAGCAGAGCAGGAAAACTGAGAGCAGGGGGGAAAACTGGAGCAGAGGGGGAAAGGAGGAGCAGTGGGTGGAAAGAGGTGCAGTAAGGGAAGGGATGAGCAGAGTGGGGTAAAATGAGCAGAGGGGGGGAAATGACCGGAGGGGGACAAGAGGAGCATAGGGGGTAAAGAGGAGCAGAGAGGGAAAGAGGAGCATAGGGGCAAAAGAGGAGCAGAGAGTGAAAGAGGAGCAAAGGGGGAAAGTGGAGTAGGGGGGAAAAAGAGGAGCAGAGGGGGGAAAGAGTAGCAGTGAGGAAAAAGAGAAGAGGGGGAGAAGAGAAGCAGAGGGGAAAAAAGAGCGGAGGTGGGAAAGTTGAGGAGATGGGGAAAGAGGAGCAGAGGGGGGAATTAGGGAAAGCCGGCGGTGAAATGGTGGGAAGCAGGGGAGGAGATGAGGGAGGAGGAGAGGGGGTGGCGGGAAGAGGAGAAGGCATGGCGGGAGGAGGAGAAGGCATGGTGGGAGGAGGAGAAATCATGGTGCGAGGAGGAAAAGGCATGGCGGGAGGATGGGAAGGCGTGGCGAGGGGCGGAGAGGGGGTGGCGGGAGGAGGAGAAGGCATGGCGGGAAGAGGAGAAGGCATGGTGGGAGGAGGAGAAATCATGGTGCGAGGAGGAGAAGGCATGGCGAGGGGAGGAGAAGGCGTGGCGAGGGGCGGAGAGGGGGTGGCGGGAGGAGGAGAAGGCATGGCGGGAGGAGAAGGCATGACGGAAGGAGGAGAAGGCATGGCGGGAGGGGGAGAAGGCATGGTGGGAGGAGGAGAGGGGGTGGCAGGAGGAGGAGAAGGCATGGCGGGAGGAGGAGAAGGCGTGGTGAGAGGCGGAGAGGGGGTGGCGGGAGGAGGAGAAAGCATGGCGGGAGGAGGAGAAGGTGGCGGGAGGAGGAGAAGGCATGGCGGGAGGGGGAGAAGGCATGGTGGGAGGAGGAGAGGGGGTGGCAGGAGGAGGAGAAGGCATGGCGGGAGGGGGAGAAGGCATGGTGGGAGGAGGAGAGGGGGTGGCGGGAGGAGGAGAAGGCATGGCGGGAGGAGAAGAAGGCATGGCGGGAGGAGAAGGCATGGCGGGAGGAGGAGAGGGGGTGGCGGGAGGAGGAGAAGGCATGGCGGGAGGAGAAGAAGGCATGGCGGGAGGAGAAGGCATGGTAGGAGGAGGAGAGGGGGTGGCGGGAGGAGGAGAAGGCATGGCGGGAGGAGGAGAAGGCATGGCGAGGGGAGGAGAAGGCGTGGCGAGGGGCGGAGAGGGGGTGGCGGGAGGAGGAGAAGGCATGGCGGGAGGAGAAGGCATGGTGGGAGAAGGAGAAGGCATGGCGGGAGGAGAAGAAGGAGAGAGGAGAACACGCGGGGAGGCGAGAGGAGGCCTCGCGTGGAGGCGAGAGTCGAGCGCGCGGGGAGGCGTGAGGAGGCCGCGCGGGGAAAGCGAGATGAGAGCGCGGGGAGGCGAGAGCCGCACGCGCGGGGAGGTGAAAGGAGAAATCGAACCGGGAGGCGATAGGAGCAGGAATGGGTAAGGCGAGAGGTTGTGGAAAGGAGGTTTCGGGCGGAAATGAGGTTCGGAAAGGGGATTTCAGTGCTCTGGAATGAGGTCGTGCAGGGGGGGAAACGGACGAGGCAGCGTGGTTCGGCGAGGGGAGATTCACTCCGGACGAAAGGCGAACGACGGACGGCGGCCCTAAAAGGGAGGGCACGCGAGCGGCGAGCGGGAAGCAGCGGCTCACCGCGCGCGGCGAACGGCGGACGGCGAGCTAGGAGGGGATGACGGGATGGGATGGCAGATGCTAGCGCGTCGAGGCTAAACGGGACTAGGAAGGGAGCGGAGGCGGTGGCGCTAATGCATTCGCGGTAAGGCAGCGAGAGGAGGCGTGGGGCGGCCTTGTCTAAGGTGGCGTGGCCTAAGCGAGTGCGTACGAATGGGCAATTTGTCCGCGCATGCGTTTGAACATCGTTTCGCGATTCAATAACAAAATTTGCCACTAAATCACGCGGTTAGGTTAGACCGTTGCCTAGTCTACGGGGAATAACCTACCGAAGTAGCATCGTGTGGGCTATCCTCTCACAACTGCAGTTTCTGTCTCCTCCTGCAATTCCTTAGGTTTTGAACTTGAGTGCGGGGAGCCGGACGTGAGGCGTTTGGGGGCGACTCGCTTCCCCTGTCAAGCGGGGGGTTGGGGTTGTAATCGCGTAACCAGTTTTTCAAGTTCCTAAGGTTTTTGAAACCCCTGCTTGCAAAAGTATACTGTTGCTTTAAAACCCGAAGCCTGAATTACAAAAACTGAGTCAACGCTTGGTTTGGTAGGTTTGGGGTTCGGGCAATATGAGGTGCGGCAGGATTGCGAAAGCAAAAAAGTTAGCGAAACATGATGCGACTCTCCCGTGAGTCAACGAGGCGTTATCAGCCAGCGCAACCCAACAGTTCACATACATTCTGCTTACAACCCCAGAGAGCTGAAGCAGGGTAAAAACCTTTGCGACAGAACAAGCGAACAACTCAGACTAGCTTTTTAGGATCCAAGCATCGCGCTCACCAGCCAGGCATATCAAGTGAACACAATTTAGGGACGATCGAATAGAAGATGAAGCGTGGTCATGCAATCGAAGTGAATCGTAGGCGCTGGCTGCGAGTGTGACGCACGTAGAAACGAGATGGCACGGGAGATATTAGCGATTTGCCCACCTCGCTTCCCCCGCCCGTCGCCCTCGCTCTTCCCGCGCACCGCCTCCTCCCCGCCCGTCGCCTCGCCTCCTCCCTTCCCGTCGTCTTTGCTTCCTCCGCCCGCCCTCGCTTCTCCCCTCCCCATCGGAACCTATACCTGTGTGTCAAACAGCATGCCATCCAGTGGCTTGATGTTTGATAGGCATCGCTGGGGAATTTTTCGCGATGCCTGGGATTGGCGTGTTGCATTACACACTTACAGCGTGTTACTTGCAGGCTGATTTCGACACCCCATCCGGCATCATTCCCAACCCCTGGTTTCCCTCCAAAATCAAACTCGCCATTTCCTTGCAGCGCCCAAGTACTGTACACAGCCAATTGCGGAAAAAGGTTCCGTACATTTTTTTTCTCCGGTTAAGAGTTTCGGGTTGATGCAAAACATTTGTGAAGAAATCGAAGTGTGACTGTTCGCCATAGAGTGACTCGACATTCTTCGCGGGCGAGGCCGAACTACAGTAAAACATATTACCACATGTAACTGTTAGAGTATGCTTTGTTTTGTCGAATCGGGAATCGTGATCGGATATAAATTAGAAAACTACTCTCGGTGCTACTGATTTCTGCATTCCATAATTGGTTCAAAAAAACTGAAATCATTGATTAACCGTGTAAACATTTTAATGGATATAATATGTTAATGTACATACACGGCATGACATGACAAATTGGGTAATAGTGACGTTCAACCATGGGGTTAAATACATTCCACAACTTGGAAGTAACGACCAAGCATAAATCCTGCACAAAGAAAAAACAGCACTCCTGCACAATCCTGCACGGGATACGAAGCGTACATAAATCACGACCTGCAAACATACGATAAGAGAAAAGACGACCACCACAGGAGTTACTGCCAATTAACTCAGCTTGGCGTCGATTCAAAGCATCAGGGTCAGAGTCAGAAATCACGTTGTGACTAGCAACCACAAAAGGCGGCAACCATCAATGGTGCGGAAGCGCTCGTAATACACAACCTGCAAAAAAATACACGATTAGCAAAACTCGACTAACCACGGGATGAGACGCCAATGAGATGTCATTTTTTCCCTGTGAAGTAAAGGGAAGATACACAACGCAAGTCACGAGGGGACATTAAGTACAAGGAGAAGGCAGGAAACCGTGCAGCATTGCGCGACAATTAAATAAACATCACGGTAGTGCAAAGCCTTACCTAATAATCACGACTTCCAAATGACGGATGATTCCCTACAACGAAGGTAGTAGCGAGTACGAGTGAGACGAAAAAAAGAGTCGAAGGTATGCACAAGGTAAGCGCGAAAAAAGAAATGTGCACTAGTCACTACGGCTGCTGCTGCGACTAGCGCTGGCGCTGGCCCTGGTGATGTCGGCAGAAACGAAGAGATCGGCGATGAAAATGAACTGCCCTCGATAGGGAGAGCTGAAGTCTGGGGTGCGAGAAACTGGGTAGTGGTGCTCCAGGGAGGCAGCGAGCAGAGCACTTCCCTGCTGGTGCGCCAGCGAAGCACCAACTTGTGAAGATTCTGGTTCATGCACCAGCAAAGCACCAATCAGAGCACTTCTCTGTGCAACACGGCAACGATTATGATTCGTCGCCTCGATGGCTCACCCGCCGCCACCTCTCATATCGCTAGAGAAGGATGTGCATCAGCTAGGGTGTCAAAAGCTTGAGCTTGGATTGGCTGCAAATTTATTTGCGGGAACAGCTGCCAAGTGTAACCTTGGTCAACAACAAGTAAAATTCAAGTCGCTAAAGGGAGATCGCGTAGAGATGTGGTCAGAAACAAGCAAAACAGTCATTATGTACAAATTTGTGTGCTTACAAACATATTACATTTCAAAAAGTGTCTCACACAAATGCCATATTGGAAGCCACAGAATTGGCTAAGTGTTGGGAATTACTAAGTTGGGTTTTTTTTGTTGTTTTGAACGATAGATTTAGGTATCCTCTAAAATACTATTAAGTTGGGTTTTTTTTGTCTGGTTCGCCCCAACCCATGCGCAAACAAGCGTCACGGGTTGGATACTTGTGCGAATGAGCTCAAACCAATTCCTATGGCAAGGTACTTGATTGAAATACATGAATGTGTGAAGAAATGGTGCAAAACAAAACCACCATACAATGGAACCGTGACATGTTTCGTACTGTCATATCCTTGATCAGTTCCAGACCATCGAACGCACAAACAAGCATCACGTGCTGCGTAGTTGTGCGAATGAGCTCAAACCACTTCGAATGGCAAGGTATTTGATTGAAATACCTGAATGTGTGAAAAAATGGTGCTAAAAAAAACCATCAAAGGATCAAATGGTGACATGTTGCGTACTGGCCTATCTTTGCACAGTTTCAGGCCCTCGAATGAACAAACAAACGTCACGTGCTGCGTAGTTGTGCGAATTAGGTAAAACTAGTTCCTATGGCAAGGTAATTGAATAAAGTATGTGTATATGAGACGAAATGTGAGAAAGTACGAACGAGAAGTGGAATGACTATGAACGAAGTGAGTACAAATAGGAAACCCTAATTGGGTTGTACCCCCTATGGGATACCCCACTATAGCCTACAGAAACAAGTAAGCTATAAGTTCTGACACACCCCCATAGGCAAAGTGGGGGAGAACAAGGGGTCACAAGACCGGTCAAGCAAAGCAAAGCAAAGCTCAGGGTGGATCACAAAGTCACCACGCATTCCGAGCACAAGTTCAAAGGCCACAAGGCCAGTTCACATGCAAGATCATATATAGAGATATACAAGAGCAAGAGTATATATATGCGAAAGTACAAGCAAGGTCAAGAGGAGAGCAAGTGAGGCAATACAGGCACAAGACCCAACTGCGTGCAGCAACGCTGATGATCACAAGGCGCAAGTGCCTTGGTGAAGACATCAGCAGTGTTGGCCTCAGAGGCCACGTACGCAAGTCGCAGCTGTCCACGCTGCTGTAGCTCACGAGCAAGAAAGTAGCGAAGAGCAATGTGCTTCGTTCTGTGCTCCAGTCGCTGCTCTCGACACAAGGCCAGCATGGCCTTGTTGTCTACGTACAGGACTGGAGGAGAACGAGGCTGCTCTCCAAGGTCGGTCAGCAGGTAGGTGAGCCAGCGTAACTCCTGTGCAGCCATGGCCCCAGCGTAGATCTCAGCCTCACAACTGGAGCCGAGAACAGAAGACGAGCGGGTAGCCCGCCACGAAACAGAGCCGGAACCAAGGCTGAAGGTGTAACCCTGTGACGACCGCTGCGTAGCCTGGTCGTCAGCCCAAGAAGCGTCTGCGTGCCCAGTGAGGACCACTGGACTGCGCCCTCCAAGCACTAGCCCCATGCCCGACGTACTGCACAAGTAGCGCAACACCCTCTTCGCTGCAGCCATGTGCTCTGGTCGGTGTCTCCCAGGAGCAACAAAGCGTGTGAGAATGCTAAGAGGGTATGCGAGGTCAGGTCGTGTGCAGGTCATCAGGTACATGAGGCAGCCAACAAGCTCTGCAAACGGGCCACTCGACTCTACGGACTCATCCGAAGGCAGAGCTGAGAGCGAGTGGCGAGTAGGCAGAGGAGTGGCCTGAGGCGAGGAGTACGTGAAGCCGAAGCGCTGAAGGACCTGCTGCACCATGTGTGACTGAGTCAGGGTAATGGTGCGGCGTGCTCTGTCCCGGGTGATCTGCAAGCCAAGGTAGCTGCGCAGTTCACCCAGGTCAGTGCACGTGTGTCTCTTCTGCAGCTCGGACTTCACGTAGGCGAGTCCAGCAGTGTCAACTGTTGCAAAGACCAAGTCGTCGACGTACACGAGGATGTAGAACGGCGGCAGAGAGGTGTCGGTGCGCAGAAACAGCGACGGGTCGGCAGTGGAAGGAGCAAACCCAAGTGCCGCGAGCGTAGTCCTCAGTGTGTCGTGCCACTCACGTGGCGCCTGGCGGAGACCGTAGACTGGACGCCGGAGACTCCACTGGGTACCAGGAGGGAAAGACCCAGTGAAGCCAGGTGGGCGACGCAGCCAAATCTCCTCGTGCAGGCTGCCCTGCAAGAAAGCTGTGCTGAAGTCGAGAGAGTGCAGCTCGTAGTCACGGTGAGCAGCAACGTGTAGCAGAACCCGAAGAGTGGTCATCTTCGGGGTGGGGGAGAAGGTCTGAAAGTAGTCAACCCCCTGCCGCTGACTGAAGCCACGAGCCACGTAACGCGCCTTGAAGACAGGCGGAGAACCCGGCGGCCGTTTCACCCTGAAAATCCACATGCCACTGACGATGTTTGCCCCAGGAGGGGGAACAGCGTCAACGTAGGTGCCTGTGGACTTCCAGGAAGCCATCTCTGCATCCATAGCTGCCTGCCACTGAGAGGAGTAGGGACCCTCTATCGCCTCCGCGTAAGAGCGCGGAGTCGGGATGTCTGGTGCATCCGGGTCTCCCTCAGGGGCTAGCAG